CACCAATTAAAAAAATTTTTAATAGTAAATCTAATATTATACAAATTTTAAATTTTAATTAATTAAAAATTTTTTAATAATTTTGATAAAATAAATTTTTAAAAGAATTAAATAAAATATTGCTATAGTGATGATCATATACTATAAGATTTAGTATAATATAAAATCAAAATAATAAATCAATTTATTAGTTTAGATTTAGGATGAGGATTAAGTTAGATTAGAGTAGCATATTTTAGCAAAAAGTTTTTAACCCAAAATATTATAAAGAATTTTTTTGTTATAGTTTCATAAGCAAAATTTCACATTATAGGTGATTTTTGAAAAAAATCATAATTATTTTGATTTCATATTATACCTAATCCTGTATTCTTATTGGTTGATCAGGGTAGCGATACATCGCAATAGCAATATATCACAATAGCGATATTTTATAAAATCTTTTTAAAAATATATTTTAATTAAAAAGTATATTATTAAAATTAATATTTAAGATTTTATTAAAAAAATAAAGTTTAAAAAAATATTGTTTGTATTACAATTTAAAAAATAGTTTTAAATTAATATTTAAATATATTTTAAATTAATATATATCTAGGTGATGCTCATTTCTAATAATGCTACTTGAAACTATATTAAGTTAATAACTAAAACTGAAATTAGTTTTAGATAGCTGAAACTAATTTTCAAAACTCTAAAACTTGTTAAAAATTTTGAAACTATATTAAAGTCTAAGTCTATACCAAAATTCTGAAACTATTTAAAATCTTAAGTTAATAACTAAAACTGAAATTAGTTTTAGATAGCTGAAACTATACATGTATTTACTTAATCACTGTTTAAAAATTTGATATAAGCTTAATTACTATTAACTAAGTTAAGAGAAGTTGTTAGCAAAGTAATTGACAAAATAGTAATAATTAGTTTATATATGTATTTGCTAAGAACCAGATTGATAATAAATTATTAAAGTAGACAAATTAACTATAGTGATTAGAGTAGCTGTATGCTTAAACTAGAAATGTATTATATAGAGTTTTTGTCTTGAAGATCATATTATAGAATATAGTAAATTATATATGCATCAGGGCCACCATTCATTAGCAACAAAAATGCTAGCCAAAATCAGCTAGTAAATTTGTATAATTAGCAAATTAGCTATTAAAAATTTATATAGTATATATTGTTTTATTTTTTGATCTAAATTAGAGATTTTGAATAAACTATCTAAATCAACAACCTTACTAGCACTGGATAAATTTGGCACCTAACATATTTATAAACACCTGATTTTAAAGAATTTAATCTCAACAAAATTATTCTAGTTTTATAAGATTACTATACAATATTACTCTATAAATAAATTATTTAGTCTAACTCTATATTAAGTATCCCAATAAATGTTACTATCCTCAATAAAACTAAGGTACTAGTTACCGTCTATCCTTTATATAATAAATACCCAAGTGTAGTATCCAAACCATTACACAGTGCTCTTGAGTACTATTCAATTTAAAAAAAAAGAACTTGAATAATATCTACAATATTGTATACAATGCTAATATCTACAGTGTTGTATATAATATTGGATAGTATATTTTATATCTTATTCAATGACTTTATTAATAAATAATATTATAAACAGTATTCTACCAAGTATAGCTGAATGAATCAATATACACAAGATTATAAACTCACATTTCACATATATTTTATATATCAATAAATGTACGTATATATGTATGCATCATATAATTTTTTTATAAAACCTAGTCTTCCAATCATATTCTAAATTTTGTTCACTAGCTATTCTAGTTGTTTGTTAACTATACACTTCGTAATTTCATTACTATATTCTTGGTATTTAGTATAGTTTGGTTATTTATGCTGATAACCAGATTAATTGAGTCATACTGGTTACTTAGTTTATTAAAAATAGTCTGGTTTACCTTGATAATAAGTAGATGATCTAAATCTAAATTTAATACTATATTAATATATATGCAATATATACGATGTATATATACAATTACATATACTTCTATATAGTAGTTTATAAGAGACGTGACAAAAATCAGATGATTTTTTAGGGGAAAGAGGGTAAAAAAAATTAAAATTATATATAAGAACTTGGTTTTTTTATATTAAGAGAGGGAGAGGAGTAAACCTCTAATAAAAAATAATTAGGTGATAAATAATACTGCCCTAAATATATGTTTTATCTTATTTTTATAAAGAAATAATATATAATTTTTTTTATTTTAAATTGTGTATTTAATATATATAAATCTATTTATTTATAAGTATATATATATATATATAATATATGTTATAACTTTACATATATATTATTCAAGATCTTGAACTAATTCTTCTAAATTAAATTCATGATCTTCATTCATAGCAACATCAGAATTATTGTTGTCTTCATTAAAAATATACAAATTTTCTACTTGATTAAATGCTTGATAATGCAAATCTACAATATTATTAATAACAAAAACTACTATTTGATGATTAGGAATCACTAAATCATCATCTGATTCTCTATTATTTTCATCTTTATAGTCTTTACTTTTATTATTTTCACCCTTGAACGTCTCAAACAGATAAGACCTTTGAATCATTGCTATTAATTCATCTTCAGTTTTGTTTTTCACATTATATGATAGCTCTTTATGTATATTAAGTAAATTATAATGTTGAATTTTAGTAAGTGATTCTAAATTTTTTAAACCCAATCGTTATCTTTTTTTATCATAAAACCAACCCAAAATAGAAAAAATGTATTTGTATGATATGCTATATAGAGTTATTGCAAAAATTTTTTTGGCCAAAATTTTAAGATTATCAAACTTATCTTCAATAAAGCTCTATTATGCAGAAGGTGTTATTACTTGGCTATCATATTCAACATTATACAGAAATTCTTTTTTCTTAAATTTAATAATTTAGAAAATAAGAGTTTGTACAGATAATTTATCTTTGTATCCTATCGATTGCTATAATTGTGCAATATAAAGAGTAATTTGTGTGTATATTCTCTTTCTTAAACTAGCACTTATAAAAAAAATCAATTATTAAATAAACAAAATATAAATTTACTATAGAATAATATATATCTTGATATTCAGGATGCAGTATATATACCAAAATATATGAATCTGCTTTAAGTTCATTCCAATGATTGTTAACAATTTCTATATATTAATTTTGAAAGGCAATCATATCTCTTTCTTTTGGCATATGAGAAATAATTGCAATTAAATGAACTAATTGAATAAAACAATCTGCTATTGTACAATCTGCTTTTTCTAATTGCAAAATTGTAGCTTTAATTAGAGCAAAAATTTTGCATTAGGATGATCATTTAAAATCTTAAAATAAATTAAAATAATTAGTGTTAGCACTACAGCATATTATATAAGAATGAGTGCTGCAATGCCAATTAATAAATTAAAAATCACTTTTTCTAATACAAGTTTAAGTTTAAATACAGAATTAACTGTTTCATATATGGATATCTATCTAGTTTCTATAAAAATTTTCAATCTATCTTCACTAATATTCAATTCATCTATATATTTTTTTAGATAACTTCTAGCTAAATGACTAGTTTTAAAAAATGGCATATCTTATTGCGATATTTTAAAATACATACTAGTAATTTACATTTTAAAATATCATAACTAATAAGGTTAACAAAATAAACAATACAATGAAGATTGATAATAGAAGGGTATTTTTGATTAATCTGTCTACGTGTAGTAGCAATAGCTAAGACATTATCAGAAATTACTCTAATAAATTTTTTAGATCTAATTTTAATTAAAATTTTTTCATTCTTATCAAAAAGTAAATCCGCTATATGACTAACATGAGACAAATTACAAAGAGCATATAAGAATTCTTTATGATCAAGAGTTATTATTAAAAAATTATAAATCAAAACACCCTGAGGATTTGTTTAACTATCTAATTCTAAAATTGGATAATAAAATTTAATATAATTATATATATAATTTAAAGTTTTGTATAAATATATTAAAACTAATTACCAAGTGTCAAATTATTTGCAGTTTTTAAGTATTTTTCAGTTTTTTAATTAATTTTAATCACTTCTTCATTTAATAATATATTAGCAAAATACTCATGAGTAGGTGGTATATATGAAGATTGTAAAGATTTAAATATATCAATAAATCATAGATTCTCAATTACAAAGAATAAAAGTCCACATATAGCAAAGGCTTTAATAATTGTATAATCAATTGCTTCCTTTTTAGGACTTGCCAAAAATTGATTTTCATTTTTTCAATAATTATTAATACTTATTTTTTATTTTTTGAATTGATTTTTTGAACTAGCTTGTTTTTTTTGATAGTTGTCTCTGAATCGAAATCTCAAGATATTTGCTTCTTGTTTCATTATTAAGGCTTTTACCTTCATATTCTTTTGCGAGATACACTACAAGCTCATTTAAATGCTCATAGTTAAATCGAATAGTACAATATTTATATTGTGCAAAAAAATAGCTAGGTGATTTTAAGAGAGTTGCAACAAAATACTTCTAAACAGAATCTAGTAGTCTTCCTCCAGAATATTTTAAACGTGTTTCATTTTCAGTTTTTCTTTCAGCTTCTTCATCAGATAAATAATGCAAAGCTATTAAAGATAAATCATATGAAGTTATTGAAGTTACAAAAGATAAATTTTAAGAAGCTATTAAAAGTAGCTTATATAAAAATAAATTAACTTTAACTAAAAATATATATATATATATACAAATAAAGTATCTAAAAAGGTGAAATTTAAAACTATTTTGCATAAATCAAAGATATTACATGAAGATAAATTATACGAAAAATAAATATCTAACAAATAACCTATTAATAAATAATATTAGTGCAATTAATATATAAACCAATTTTAGGAATAGCAAACATAATTATATTTGAGTCTTACTATTATTAGTTAAATTCATATTAGCCCCTACTGTATAAGATAGACCAAGTTATTACAAAATATAGGATTTTATATGAGATACCAAATTATTAGCAATTATATAGCTTTAAATTAAGCAACTAAATAAATTATATATATTTATATATATACATACATATATGCTTATTTAAATTCATATGCTATTCGCACAGTATCAATATTAGATTATCATTATCTATACTTAATCAGAGATTTGGTATAACCAGATAAGTATTAGTTTTGAAGAAAAAGTATTTATTAGTTTTTAAATTTTTCTCTTGTTTACAAATACAAATTTGATTCAACCTTATTATATCATTTATTGATCATTACTTTAGTTTTTAAATTAATGAATACTATACTAATAATTCACGTTATAAAATAAATATGATCTAATTCAAAATCTGACTTCAATCTATTATCAAATTGATCACATGTTACATATAATTATTTGGTCGCTTTGAAACTATTTAAGCACTAAATAATTTTTTTTCTTATTAATATATTCTTTTCACTATTTTTTAGTATTCTAGTTGATACCTGTACTAAATACATCATATACTGGCAATATATATACATATATATTAGCTATATATATTTTTTAATATCAACATGAGAACTCTTGATAAATACACAATTTACTGAATCTGGAAATGCTTAAAAATAAATCTAAAAATATCCAAATATAAGAAGTTGCAGATATATGCTATTGAATATGTCTAAGCCATTCTCTTCAATTTAGTATTTCATAGATCAGTTCAATTTATATTGCTAACACTAATTAAAATATTAGTAGCAATAAAGTAAACAATTATAATAATAGTTTTATTTTTTTCATATAAATAACTAAAATAGAAAGTTTATATAATATAATATACAGCTTGATAACCAAAAGCAAATAATAATATAGGTAAAACTATAAATAAAACAGATAAAACAAGATATAACTTGTATGTTTTACAAATTTAAATAAATATTAAAAAATTTGTTCTTTAATTACATAATGCTCAACTAGAAGCAATTGATTTTATTTATATATAATAATATCAATATGTAAAAGAAAAGGTTGTTATTCAATTTTCCAAAAGCTATTTATCTAATAGGTCACTTACTCGATATTATATAGGGTTAGGGTTAGTATTTAATTAGCTATAGGTATATATTTTAGCAATTTATCACCCTAGTGATATCAGGTAAGTGACTAGTCGAGCAAATAGAAATTGTACTATAATCAATGAAAGATACAACCTGTAATGTCAGATTAGTTTTGGGCACTGCATAGATTATGCGAGATAAATACTTTATTAAAAAATTCAGGTTTAATGATAGTTGGAAATTAAAGAGATTATAATTATTAAAGATATTCAGATTATATATATAACCAACTTGTTTCTTTACTATCTATCAAACTATATTCCTATTTTATTAATAAAAGACTACCTTTATATATTATAGTATTCTATTCTATACTTGATTTAGTTATAATATATTATTAATCAGAAAAATATAGTAATAATCTATGATTAAATTATTACAATATAAAATACAATATAAAATGTAATCATAGATATTAAGTGTTAACAAAAATCTCTGTGATATCTGAAGTCTAAGAATTTGGAACTAAGAATAGAAAAAGCCTAGAATTTGGAAGACGGATATCCGAAGATTCTTATATAAAAAAAAATAATAATAAATAGTAAGTTTTTGATAACTAATGAAATGAATTATACCTTTTCTCTTTTTGGTATAAATGAGTATCTAACTAAATTAGTATCATGATTGTTAAAACCTACTATATAAAGAGACTAACACAATTGTATAGTGCTATTCAATTCATATAACTTCTAAGCTAGAGCTACATATGCTATATATAATACTAGGAATTAGAAACTAATATAAGTCCAGAGTTTAAATAAAAAATTAATTACTTTAATAAACAAATCACAAGTCACTTAAACAAATATTTTTTTTTATATATAAATTTTACTATAAGCTCGAATATGTAGTGCTTCTATTTAAAACTTTTTTTTTACTAAGTAAATTACTCTTGGACTTGTAACAAAAGTTGTAAAGCTCATCAAGATATATCTAAT